AATGTAGTGATCTCTTAAAAAACTCTAAATTCTCAATCCTAACATTTCATTAAACTCTTTCATGGGTTGCACTTCTATTCTTCTCTCATTCTATTTTCCTCTTTTTTAATATATTTTATTTCACTTTTTAATTACTTAGGGCATGGATATCTATAATATCATATGGATAGACTTTTTGCAAAATATTTATAGATAAAAGATGAGTTTGACGCTAATTCAAATTCCTTGATCAAATTTATATCCTACTCAAAGATATTTCAAAAATAAATAAATTAATTAAACTATAAATTTCAAAACCTTACTTCCATGACAATATGAAATTGGGCAAAAATATTGGAGAACAGAAGAACTCTGCAGAGAAATTAAACAAGTGATTTAACTAATTATGCAAGATTTTTCTTATGTGAAAAGAAATATATATTTGAAATCTTATATTATGTTTTTTGCTCTATTTTTTTTTTTTTGGCAGATTTTTTTTTTAAAAAACTCCAAATTCTCAATCCTAATATCTCATTAAACTCTTTCATAGGTGGCACACCTATTCTTTTCTCATTCTATTTTTCTTTTTTTTCCCTCTTTTTTAATATATTTTATTTCACTTTTTAATTACTTATGGTATAGATATATATAATATCATATGGATAGGATTTTTTCAAAATATTTATAGATAAAAGATGAGTTTGACTCTAATTCAAATTCCTTCATCAAATTTATATCCTACTCAAAGATATTTCAAAAAAAATAAATTAATTAAACTATAAATTTCAAAACCTTACTTCCATGACAATATGAAATTGGGCAAAAATATTGGAGAACAGAAGAACCCTACAGAGAAATTAAACAGGTGATTTAACCAATTATGCAAGATTTTTCTTATGTGAAAAGAAATATATATTTGAAATCTCATATTATGTTTTTTGCTCTATTTTTTCTTCTGCAGATTTTTTTGTTTGTTTTAGTTTTAGTTTTAGTTTATTTGGGGTATTTAATTTTTTTTATTCATAATCTAAGTTAGTTGTTGAAATTATAATAATGTAGTAGATGCGCTTATGCCTCCAAAATTTATTATTCATTTTATTAAAATTTTACAACTACAACGCACAACAAAAAAGTAGCAATGGCAACAAACAGCTAAAAGACCAATATAAAGAGTGATGTTTTGTGATGCAATTTGAGTTGACCCATTTTTTTAAGAAAAATTGTACCAATCGAGAAGAGTATTTGGAACACATTCACGAGTTTGAAAGAAGTTTTGATTCAATATTATATATTTTTTTGTTATATTTTGTTCTTCAATTATATTAATTTATGTGTTCGATTTTGTTGTAATTTATAAGGAGGACACTCAATTTAAATTCAGACGTAAATAAACTTAATTATATAGTAGTTCTAAAATATTTTTGCTTATATTTTTATTTTTTTATTTGAGATCTTCATGAGTTTAAATTTGTTTCTTTACATATATGTAGTGAGTAGGATTAAGTTTTTAAATAATAAGTTTCTCTTTTGCAATAAAAAGTCATCTACACAAAGGAATATTTGAAACACAAGATTGGATTTCAAAATCCTTAATGAATATACAAATAAATTACTTTGTTTTCAACTCATAATACTCTTTATATATATATATATATATAACGAAAATCAACCGTAGACAAAGTCATTTGGATCCATTTGAAGAGCAAAAACTCTATACATGTTTTTTACTTAATTAGTATTTAATAGTTAATTTCAATTACATTATTGAATGTCATGTAATTTTTAAATAGATTGGATTCAATATGTGAATACTTCAATAAAAGTTTGGTTAATCTCTTATAAAAAAAATTAATATTCAACTATGTTTGTGTTGAAATTATAAACACATTACATATTAATAATCAAAATTTTAAAACTTAATTTATGTTTTATGTATTTAGACAAAAATCATAGGTAAGAAATTTTTTTCTATGAGTGTTGAATTTTATATTCACATGTCACTGTTATAGAAATATTCATGTCATGCCCGTTCTATGGTTAAGACTTTATTTTATTTAAAGTGTATTATTATATTATCATATAACATAAAGTAAAAATAAAACTAAGAAGTCAAAATAAAAAAGAAAAAAAAAAGTGACGCTAATTTTTTTATTTTATTTAGGAGTTTCAAAATACGAAAGTTGTTGAAATTTATAGGTTATAGACACAAAATAAATTTAAAAAAATAAAAAGTGATCCTTGAATTTTGTTTGTAATTAAGGTGTCGTTTGGGAAGTGGGTTGGCTCTTTAGCTTTTTTGGCTATTTTAGCCTGGGCTAAAAAACTTGGTTTAGGAAGAGTTTTTTGGCTTTTTGACTTTTTTGGCCTTTTTTGTGAGAGAAAAGTGTAATGATTATGGGTTGGATGTGATACTTTATTTTTTGTGGCTAAAATAGCCTATTTTGTCTTTTGTGGCTAAAATAACTAAAAAAACTCCAAATAGCTCTTCCCAAACGGAGCTAAATAGCCTTAGAATACAAAAACTATTAAAAATAGAGTTAAAATTTGTATAATAAGATAACATACTTCTAGGTTGGCAACGCAAATGAAACACAATCATATCATATGCACGCACTTAACCCGCCAATCAAGATCAGCCAAAATCCAAAACAGAACACCAATATAGCAAATCAAAAACAATTGACATACTTCTACTCCAGCTCCAAACCATAGAACTTCTAAGCCAATCAACTTTTAAAAAATTTATTTTTTAACTACACAAAATTTAAATTTTAAAAAATATTTATTTTTTAAAAAAATAAAAATTTAACTTCTTTTTTCAAAATTATAAGCCAATCAACTTCTAAGCACATAAATGCTTATTTTTTAACTACACAAAATTTAAATTTTAAAAAATTATAGATGGCATTTAACTCCTATATAATTTTTAACTTACTACCGTTCTTATTTTTTAGTACTTTTTTTATAAATTTTAAAAAATTATAGGTAGCATTTTACTCTTATCTAATTTTTAAACTACTATTATCTCCAGTTTTTTTTATTATTAGAGTTATATTAGATGTTTTTTATATCATGTTTATCTTATCTTATTTTTGAATTTTTAAATTTCAACTTTGATTTTTTTTTTTTTCAATCTTCGTTTGATATTTACTAAATTTCTCTTTGCCTCATTTTTCTAGAATTTATCTAAATTTCTCTTTTTATATTCTTCTAATTTATCTTCACATTTACACTTGATTTTGTTTTTTTAATCTTTATCTTATATGTACAAGATCTATTTTTACTCTTAATTTTCAATTAAGTTTATTCTTTTTTTAGGATTTATCCGATTTTCACTTTCTATATTGTTATAGTTTATCTTCAAATTCAAACTTAATTTATTTTTATTTTTATCATGTATTTATAAAATTTCACTTTGACCTTTTTTTTTCAGTTGAGATCAATCAAATCTATTATTTAAGTACCTATCTAAATTAATATCATAAAATTTTGTTATTAATTTTTAACATATTTTAGTATTATTTATCACCTTTTATTATTTGCTCGTATATAGTACCAATTACAACTAATATATATGTATATGATACTAAGGCCTCCTTTAGGAACATGTTTTTTTAGTAACTTTTTGATTTTTTGACAAAAATGTGATGCAAAAAAAATTAATATATATGAGATGACTTTTTAATTTTTTATAAAAATATGTGTAAAAAATAGAAAGAAAATAGAATCTTTAATTTATTTATATGAATTACTAATTTTTTAATTTTTTTAATAATTTTTTAATTTTTTAACTAAAAAAAATACTTGTCAAACGAGACCTAAGCAATTACTTAAACTTATCCATTTGAGGGATTAGCTTCAATTGAGAGCATAATGATGGCTGTAACATCGATTGGCCACATGTTGGGCTACGTGGCACCAAAACGTGCTGAGCAAATATGATACCTTAATATAAAAACGAGTGGTGTTTAGCTACGTGGCACCAAAATGTGCTGAGCAAATATGATATCTTAATATAAAAAGAGTGGTGTTTAGCTACGTGGCACCAAAATGTGCTGAGCAAATATGATACCTTAATGAAAAATGTTTGGGAGCATTAATTAGTGTTTCCACTAATTAGGTGGTAGTGGATTCTGTTATTAATGATGTGATGTTTTGATTTTAGAGTTGTATTTTTTTTTTAATGCATTAGTGTTATTAGTGGTGATATTTTTAAGGGATTTTTTTTTTAAGGTCCTTGATATTATGATTTTATAGCATAAAGGACATCAAATATTTTTATGATGTCTAAGGTCCATCAACAATATTTTCATAATGTCTAAGGTCCTTCAACCTTGATCCAGAGAAATTTCAGTCCAGAGAAAATTGGTCCAGAGAAGTTTCAGTCCAAATTTCTCTGGAAAATCTAATTATTCTCAGAAAATTTTCAGATCTGCTGCTACTTTTAGCATGCAAAATGCCCATGATTTTGTTTGGTATTGATTAGTACTCTTTCTCTCTTGCAGTTTTTCCCCCTTGTCTTAAGTTTACGTCCAGAGAAAATTGGTTCAGAAAAAATTAGTCCAGAAAAAATTCATATCACAGAGAAATTTGGTTCAGAGGACTTTCCAGAGAAATTTTAAAAAATTTTCTGATTTGAGAAAGGAAGGGAAAATTAGAATAGAATGGTTGAGAAGTTAGGTCAAAATTCACGAAGTCTTTGCATCTGAAATCTGAATAGATGAGGGTTTCTGTGCTGTGAGGAGTTTGTTTTCTGCATTTCAATCTTCAGAATTCCAGGCAAAACACAATGTGTAACAATTATCTCTGAATATGATCATGAAAGCCCAAGAAAGAGAGATTGCAGACGCTTCTAGTGAGAGGGAAATAGATTTTAAACTGTTTGCTGTAGAATGTGATCTGATCTAGATACTACAAAAACACAATAATACAGATTATGCCCAGTAGTACCAATCCATTTTGTACATACACAAATCCTATACAAATTCAAGACCCAAACACAACCTTAGTGCTTACATTTTCTAGCTTGGTGCTTTCCCAGTGACATGCTGCGCAATCCACCCCAAACCATCATACAGCCCATCTCCTGTGAGGGCACAGCAGGCTTGAATGTGCCAATCATGGTTCTTGATACTGTGAAGGGAAAGGGCATCGGTTATCTCGGCCGGAGTCATGGCATCCTTGAGGTCTTGTTTGTTTGCAAAGACGAGTACGACAGAATTTTGAAGATCGTCGTGTGGGAGTAGGCGGAAGAGTTCATCCTTCATAATACCAATCCTGGCTCTATCTGTGCTGTCTATCACTACAATCACCGCATGAGTTCCCCGGTAATATGTTGCCCACGATGTCCTAAGTCTGTCTTGTCCGCCAAGATCCCAAACCTGATAAAACAACAGTAACAAACAGATTAAATCAATTACAGAACATCAAGAAGATAGTAAAGAGGGGCAGGAATTCAGCAACCAAACCAAGATGCATAACTCCCAAGGTCTATTGGATTTGATGATAGCAAACAATAATTTTTGCAAAACCTTGTTATTCGGAAGCTTAATTCTATCACCTGTGTCTAATTTGTTGGGTATGGGGAGTGAGGGACCTTAGACTACAAAAGAATATATTGTGGACCTAATTCATTACTAAAAGGTGGATAGGGACTTTAGACCGATTTTCCCTATTTTTAATGAGATGAATTATTGTTGTGCCTTAATATAAAAAGAGTGGTGTTTAGCTACGTGGCACCAAAATGTGCTGAGCAAGTATGATCTTAAAATGAAAGCAGTGGTGGTGTTGTCAACAAGGGGAAAAAAGAAAACAAACAAAGAAAAGCGGAAGAAAATATTGGAAGTTAAGAATTCTTTGATAGTAAAAAGAAAGAATGAGATATTAATTTTTAAGTGAGTTATATTATACTCTGAGTCATCATTATATATTTTATGTATGTTTTAAATTAGTACAATTTATTTACGTAATTTGTGTTTTATGAATTATATTAGTATTTTTAATTTATGAACCTTATTTTATATAAAAAGAAAAACTAATGGATATAACTGTTTATTAAAATTATTTTGAGTAATTATTTTATAAGTACCACCACGGAGGTCCCATACTTTTGGGGACTTAAATAACCATTGACCCTCTGATTAGTCAACCCTCTGTCTGTCATGGATCCATTGACACTCTGATTTCTAGTGTGGAGCAAACAATAAATTATTTTAATACAAATATTTATTTGTTAACAAAAGCCAAAAACATTAAGAAAATGAATGACTTTTTTAACAATTACCAAATATAATGATTTTTTTTATATGGCAATTGTCAATTAAACAAATTAAAATAAAAAAAATACATTTTTTTTTTTGCTTAAATAGTTAATAAGTGACTTTTGCTAAAATCAAATAGAAATAAACATTTTGCTTTCTATTAAAAGTGATAGTTGGTGATTTTGTTTTTATATAATAAAAAAAGAAAATAGGAGTTACACGTGATAATTTATTATTCCAGCAATGCTACACACCCACACTTTCACCCACAATGATGTGGCAAGCAAGTTGGGCCCCATGTTATTAAGTGTATAGAAAATTAAGATTTGACACATATGATACCACATCATTGTCGATACAATTGTGAATTTTTTTTCTAGGTCTCAAATATTTTTCTTATTGTTCATCTAGACTTTTTTTTGCACCTGCAAAACATTGTGGATCCCACTATGTTTGTTTCCATTTTTTTAAAAACACTTTTCAGAGAATTCTACATTCTTATTTTTCGTATTTTTTTTTATTTTTACTAAATTTTTTTAATATTTTAAGTAATTTTTTTTTAATTTTTAAACACACCAAACATAAATATACTTAAAAAAATATAATTTTCGTGATTTTTTTTAAAAACCACTAAATACCAAAAAATAAAAAATAAAAAATCACTATATTTTTCATATTTTGTGTATTTATTAATTTTTAAAATATTTTTTCACAAATATTTTACTTTTTAGATACATCTAAGTAAGGTGTATCTAAAAAAGTTTTAAAAAAATGCTTAAAATTTTAAAAATATTCACTAAAAACAAAAAAACGTGAAAAACAAATAAAAAAAACTCAATTTTCAAAAAACTAATTTAGAAAACTGAAACCAATCACACTGATTAATTTTTTTTAATCTCAATTGTCAATTAAACAAACTAAAATAAAAAAGTTTGGCTCGAATTGTTAAAAAGTGACTTTTGCTAAAACAAATAGAAATAAATGTTATTTTTCTAATAAAAGTGATGGTTTGTGAAATATCTTTTTTAATTTAAAAAAATTGAGGATTATAGGTGATAATTTATAAGTTATCTAGAATTATTTTTAGATCAAATGAGAATACTATTCTAAATTTTCTTCTTACCCCCTTTTTTTTTTAAGATACTTTTATCTTGTAAGAAATTTAATTTTATTATATTTAAATATTTTATTGTAATTTTTTAAATTAAAAATAATTTTTAAAAAAATTATATTTAAATTATTTTATGCCATTATAAAATATAATTTTTTTTTAATATCAACTCATTCAATGATCTATTTCTAAAATGTGTATTTACTTAGTTTTGTTCATTAATATTAAATTTTTAACTAATCTAATTTGTTATTAAAAAAATAAGGGGAATTTTTTTTAAGGTCCCTGATATTAAGACTTTATATTATAAAGGACATCAAATATTTAAATGATGTCTAAGGTCCCTCAACAGGATCCAGAGAAATTTCAGTCCCAGAGAAATTCTCTCCAGAGAAAATTGAAATTTCTCTGAGTACCAAAGAAATCCAGAGAAATTTGTGGAGAGGAAATTTGTATGGCTATCCAGGAAATTTCTCTGACTTCGCAAATTTCTTTGACTCTATTAACTACAATTAAACCCATGTCTAACAAACTTACAAACGCACAAATTTCTCTGGTCCAAAACCAGAGAAATTCTCTCCAAACTAGACAAACCAAAGAAAATTGGGTTGGTCCAGAGAAATTCTTTGGTTTAGACTCAATTTCCTCTAGGTTGAACTAGTGCTCTGCTTGAGAGAAATTCTTTGATGCTGTTGTCTTACACTACCCATTGGAAAAGTGTGGAATCAAAGCCACTTCTTGGCCAACCCATTTTCTCTGGAGATAAATTCTTTGAGATTTTGGCCACTATGTAAATTTTCTCAGAGAAATTCTTTGGGTGATTCCAGAGAAATTCCTAGAATTTCTCTGGACAAAATTTCTCTGGACAGAAAATTCAGAGAAAGCTGATGGGGGGTCACAAAGAACCTGAAGAGCCACATGTTCCTTCGCCATGCTCTTACATACCCCAAAAAGGCCAGGGCAATTACTTTCACTAATCAACTTCTTCTAGTGTGTTGAAATTTCCCCTCTCCAAATCACTCAACCCAGATAAATTCACAACTCAGAAATTTTATTTTCTTGTCACCATTCGAACCTGACCACATAGATTTAGGAATTTGCCCAGAGAAATGGTTGAAAGAGAGGTTCAGAGTTCCAGATAAAGATTTCAACTCACCTATATCTTCCGAAATTGATCCGCTAAAATTGTTAGACGAGAGATCCTGAATTGGCTCCAACGCTTTCAACGATGACACCGTGTCGAGGTTCTTGCAGCAAGAGATCTTAACCTCGACCAAACTCCGCTGAAGCAAACAAGCCAGCGTTCTCATTCCTCTCACCGTGATTTTCCTGCAACCATGAACCTCAAATTTAGCCAATCTCGAACACCCTCTAGCAATAGCAATCAACCCCAAATCAGTCAAGTCTGCAGAGTTCTTAATCGACAAAGCCTCAAGCCCTTGAAACAGAGCAATGCCATCGAGCCTCGATTCAAGGCTCGACTCATTCGCCGTGCAAACCCCGTGAAATTGCCCTAATTTGAGCGATCTCAGCTTCGTACACTTCAAATTCAGCTCCTCTAACGCTCGCCTACTGTCTCTGACATTTTTACAAACATCTAGCACAAGCCTCTGTGATCAACGCTGTTCAGAGAAATGTTCAGCCATAGTTGGTTTCTGTTTGTTTCCAGGGAAAAAATAAAACAAGGAGTTGCGATTTCAGAGGATTTGGAAGGAGATTGAATTGAAGAACAAATTCGAAACTCTGCCGGAGAAAGCGATGTGATCATCAGCCTTGAAGATCTTCTTCTGGTGGGAAAGGGGCTCGCATCGAGCCTCGTTGACTGAAGCCAACACCACATGAGACTTTGATCGGAGACCAATAGCCGAGATGGCAATAGACTAGTGTAGATTGGGAGACAACGACAGTCAAAAGTCGAAGAAAGAAGGGCGTCTGGTGGTGGTGATCAAAATAAGGTAGATAGAAAGAGAGAGAGAAAGAATCAAATTTCTCTGATATATGTTCAGGGACCTTAGACATCAAAAAATAAATTTGTGGATCTCTTCCATTATGAAAAGTGGGAGAGGGACCCTAGACTAATTTTTCCAAAAAATAAATCAGCAAATAATTTAACATATATATATATATATATATAATTTTGTTTCAATTGCTTAGGTTGTTTGGTGTCTCTGCCCAAGTTCATTTAAATTTATTCGAATTTTTGAATTTTACATTCTCACCGAATTAAAATTTATGTTCCCCAAATTTTAAAAATTTACAAACTTTAGTTGATTGGGTTCAACTTGTCCAACTTTACAACTTTAACAAGGGGGTTGAAAGTTACATGATTAAAGTTTTGACAAATTAAAAATTGATACATAAATTATGATAAAATTATAAAACTTAAATTGTAAATTTTAATATTTTTTTTGTTATTATAATTTCATATAAAAATCTAACTATTTATATTATTTTATTAATTTTTTCACATCCCATACATAGCAGGATTATAGTAAAACCGCTGAATATGTCTGTGTGCATATATATTAGGAAAATTTTGAGAAGGTTCAATGAACCTGCATGTTCTTCTTAAAAGACTGCTTGTGTTGAAAAAAGAAACATGTTTTGATTTTTCAATTACTAAAAGTCCATGGGGTAGGTTGGAGGTTAGTTTACTCTTTTAAGATTCAAGTTTTTCTTCTCATAGAATAGAAGGTTTATTGTGTCTTGAGTTCCCACGTGATGTGAAATTTCACGGTCTTTTACAGCTATTTGATTTGTCAATCTCATGTGTTTCCCTGATTTTGTCCCAACTCTTTGCCCCACCTTCTTAATGTTACCATGTCAATACAATTTGTATTATTTTTTAATAATTAAGAATGTTGTAAAAGTTATTTGGATTTAAATTTTAACAGTACGTCGGCGCGAGAAAAATGAGACAAAATTAAGAGGGTTGCTATATGTTATCGGATGAAATTTTCTATTTGCTCACCTTCTATATAGATTTACACAATAAATCTTGTGTGTATACGTCTAAAATTTATCATATATAGAAAATAATGGTGAGGTATAGTATAACGTAGGGAAAAAAGCAATAAAATTTATCTTGTAATAAATATCATTTAATTATTGAGATTCATTGTATAATTCCTTAAACGAATGGAAAAAATTAAAATCTGATTTTCTTTTGTGAAAAATACTCCATCCCTCTAATTTTTTCCCTTAAACTCTTCAATGATGTGGAGCCCCGGGCAGGCCCAAGTGATTACGAGTGATGGGGAGCCTCGGTATTTTTTTCAAACACGTGTCCATTATACCAGCTTCCAATTCCAACGCAGGTAAATTATGGGAAAATTACTTTGCACAGACATAAAAGAAAAATTTATATAAAGACCCATAAATTATTCAGTGTCCCCATGGCACACAGTTCATTTGATGGTGCCCAGCCCATGTGACAGGTTGTGTCTCAATTTGTACACACATTTTTTTTTTAATAAATTATAAATTCACTCCCTAAATTTTATTTAAAATATGGTTATTTATCGTAATTTTAAAAAGGAATTTTTATTGATAAATCTCGTGTTTTAACTTCAAAAGTCCATGAAAAATTTTTTTAACCCATTTAATCCCATGTATGTATAGTTTTATTCCATAAAATTCTTTTTCTTGATTTACATTATTTTCTTGGACACTTATGCCCTTATATTTAATTTTGATACCCTTATAAATATTTTTTGAACGGTTAGCAATTTTATGATATGAACATTCATATTTTAAAATTCACATTGGTAGGAATGTAAAATTGGCCCGTGGGCTGCCCGAAACCTGCCCGTGAGCCGGAGCGGGCCCGGCCCGTTAACAATGTAAATATTCATATTGACATGCTAACATTCACATTAATAGGAGTGTAAAATTGGCCCTCGTCCCGTGGTGGCGCGAAACCCTCCCGAGGCCCATGAGCAGCCCGGGGGGCCCGGTCTGGCCCGTTGACAATATGAATATTTACATTGACATGTTAACATTCACATTGATAAGAGTATAAAATTGGCCCGCGGCCCGGGGTAGGCCCGGCCCGGCCCGGCCCGTTGACAATGTGAATATTCACATTGACATGTTAACATTTACATTGATAGGAGTGTAAAATTAGCCCGCGTCCCGTGGCTGCCCGAAACCTGTCCACAGTCCGTGGACAGCCTGGGGCGGGCCCGGCCCAGCCTGTTAACAATGTGAATATTCACATTAATAAGAGTATAAAATTGGCCAGCGGCCCGGGGCGGGCCCGACCCGACCCGTTGACAATGTGAATATTCACATTGACATGTTAACATTCACATATATAAGAGTGTAAAATTGGCCCACAACCCGTGGGCGGCCCGAAGCCCGACCCGTGACATTGTGAATATTCACATTGACATGTTAACATTAACATTGATGGGAGTGTAAAATTTGCCCGCTGCCCAAAGCTTGCCCGCGGCCTGAGGTAGGCTTGGCCCGGCCCGTTGACAATGTGAATATTCACATTGACATATTAACATGCACATTGATAGGAATGTAGAATTGGCCCGCGGCCCGTGGGCTGCCCGAAACCTGCCCACGGCCCGAGGCAGACTCATTTGGGTCCGAGCCTGAGCCAGTGAGTTGAGCCACGGGTCGGGCCGATGGGCTTGGGCGGGCCTGGCCATTTTTTTTTTATTCTTTTTATTTTTTTCTACCAAAATTTTATTATTTTCTACAAAAAAGACACTAGCCCTCGGCGCGGGCCGGGCCTCAAACCGAGCTTTGAATGGGCCTTAACTGGGCCGATGGACTGGGTCGGGCTTCAAAGTAATGGCCCAGGCCCTAGCCTAGGCTCTCGGACTAGGCTCAAGCTCAGGTCCAAACGAGCCTTTCCCGAGCCACGGGCGGGCTTTGGGCAGCCTATGCTCTTTTTTACTATTCCATTAAGTCCTATTTGAGGTAAGAAAATCAAAATACCATTTTCATCTACTTATATTCTGTTTAGTCCACATTATTTTCTTATGTTTCAATAAGTCCTATGGGAGACATAATTACTAAAGTACCCATAATGTGAATGTTTACATCGTCAATGTGAATGTGAATGTTCATATCATTAATGCGTAGAGGCCCGAGCCGGCCCATATCGAGTTTCGTGGGTGTTCGAAAAAATTCGGCCCAGCCCACGAGCCAAAAAATTCAGCCTAGGCCCTAGCCTTGGCACAAGGGTATTCGGGCATTGGACAGGCCGATGGATCGAGCCTCGGGTCGGGCCGGTGGGCCTGGGCCTAGCCTCGAGCTTAGGTCGGGCTTGGGCGGGCCAGGCCATTTTTTTTTAATTCTTTTTAATTTTTTCTATCAAAATTTTATTATTTTCCACAAAAAAAAGACATTGCGTCTCGGGCGGGCTGGGCCTCGGACCGAGCCTTGAATGGGCCTTAAGCGGGTTGATGGGCCGGGCCAGGCTTCAAAGTGATGGCCTAGGCCCTAGCCTAGGGTCTCGGACATGCTCGAGCCCGGACCCAAACGAGCCTACCTCGGGCCGTAGGCGGGCTCCAGGCAGCCCACAGGCCGCGGGCCAATTCTACATTCCTATCAATGTGCATGTTAATATGTCAATGTGAATATTCACATTGTCAACGGGCCGGGCCGGGCCGGACCTACCCCAGGCCACGGGCAAGCTTCGGGCAGCGGACAAATTTTACACTCCTATCAATGTTAATGTTAACATGTCAATATGAATATTCACATTGTCACGGGTCGGGCTAAGCCTGCCTCGGGCTGCAGTCGGGCTTCGGGCCGCCCACGAGTTGCGGGCTAATTTTACACTCTTATCAATGTGAATGTTAACATGTCAATGTGAATATTCACATTATCAACGGGCCGGGTCGGGACACTATAACCAAGCCAAAAAAGTTTGGAAGATTGGGTATTAGACAATCACAGCTGGTCAATGAAGTTTCTATGGCCAAACTTAGATGGAGACTTCACAAAGAGAGGCCTTGTAGGCTAGAGTGCGTGATAGGAAATACAAACACCTTGAGTCAAACCCTCCTATTTGGAAAGGGATTCAAAAAGGCAAAAACCTTGTTGATAAGGGCACTACAATCCTTCTTAAGAGTGGTTTAGACACCTCTTTCTAGTTTCAAAACTGGACTGGTTTTGCCTGCTTAGGCAAGCCATTTCTGGTCCCCTTCCTCTCCATCTGGAGTCTTTAAAAGGTACGGAGGGCTGGAAAAATAATTTTTGAGACCTTTCAAACATCTCTTTTGACCTCCCTCCCAATATCATCAATGCCATATGTGTAAAAACTCTTTCTTGGTTCACTTCTGGTAGTGATGTTCATGCTTGGAATTTCTCTGCAAATGGTGAGATTGATACAAAATCTGCCTACATGATGCTCACTAAAGAGTTCAACTCATCAACCCCCTTAACCAATTGGTCTTGGATCTGGTGTATTTATGCAAACCAATGAATAAAACACTTTATTTGATTGTCCTTGCATCATAAACTTACCACAAAGTCCCTTCTTTTCCATAGAAGCATCACCTAAGATGATTCTTACCCTCTGTCTTCTTCCACCTGAAACAACCTGCCACATCCTCAGAGATTGCTCTGTCTCCTTAACGAATTGTTACTACATGGCTATTCCTCTCACCTTAACCGACTCCTTCAACTTGGAATGGATCCGTGTCAATTGTTTCTCAATTGAAACCCATCCCTCCACAGCCAACTAGTCAATTCTTTTCCCTCTCATCTGTTGGTCCTTGTGGAAAGCCCGCAACTCACTCTGTTTTTCTCCCAATAATCCCACCCCTTTCATTGGTTTACACCCACCTCCGCATCTCCCTTTCAAAAAATGGGTGCAGAAAGAAATAATATACCGTACCACTTCTAATGTTCACATGGATAAAATTCCTCACGTCCCAGTACTCAGAAACTTCAAAAATTAAAGAAAACCCCCAAATCCTCATAAAGACTATTGATTGATGACGGGCCCTGACCCACCACTTATTTCAAGAGAGAGCAACTGATCATTCACTTTATACTTAAATGACCCATCAACCTCCAAAAATTAGTTCTTTGGCTGAGCAACTAAAATTCCCATTTACTTAAAAACAAATCCCCACAACATATATCTCCACAAATTAACACGCACTAGCAGAATGAAAAAAGCTCATTGCTATCAAAATCACCTCATTGTCTTTTAAAATGTAGATACAAATCACCCCAAAAAAAAAAAAAAACTTTTTTTTTTCTGAAACAGTCTGAAAACACAGCTCAGTGTTATCTCAACTACATGAAAATCTTCCGGAGAGAATAAATGTAACTCGCCACATCATCATGTTCCAGCCTTCCGGCGACCAACACGGGCTACAAAACCAGCCTTGATTGGAGCAACTGATCGCCCAGAACCACACTACAAGTGAATGAAAAAATAATCATAAACAATAAAAGCGTGTCAATTTCCCAGAAAATGTAGCAAATTTTAAACTGAGCAATAATTTTCACACTTCTAAATCAAAATGTAATAACCATGTGCTTTGGTTGGTCATTTGCAACTAATTAACAGAAAGAGCACATAAATCTACCCCCCCAAAAAAACATGCAAAAGGAAGATACACAAGCACAACTTTGATTGAATTTTTTAAGACAGGTGATCATTCATGTGGCCTCAGAAAAGTTCAGATTCCTCCGTCATGGATAATCAGACAATGTAGGCAAATATTTAGATCATCATAGGCCTCAAAAAAATGAACAAATATATCTACCCAAAAAAAATACAACAGATCAAACACAATTTGTTTTTTTAATTTCTTGGGTTCAATTTATAAGACAGGTGAGCAAACATTCATGGGCCTCGGAACAATTCCTGGTTCCTCGCTATTGGACAATGTAGGCAAATATTTATATCATCATAGGCCCCGAAAAAATGAGCAAACAAAACTACCAAAAAAAAAAGTCACGAACAAGGTCAAACACAAGCACAACTTTTATTTGTTTCCTAAATTCAATTTTTAGGACACAGATGAGCAGGATGCATGTGGCCTCAGTACAGTTTTCAGATCCCTCCATCATGATATGCAAATCGGACAATGTAGGCAAATCTTTAAATCATCATAGGCCTCAAAGAAACATTGCAAGTTTTATCACCACTTTAATATGAAAAAGGTGGAAATAACAAACTTCTTACAACATAACACTGGGTTACATTTCTCACCCAAAAAAATCAAGTTGCAAAATTTGCGTCTTTTCAAGTTAAAGGTACACACACAGCAAGAACAAGACAATAATAATATGTTTAGTAAACGAAACAACCTTATATTTTAATTGGTTATTCCAACCTCGTTGAATGGGTGGATCCACCCAAAAAAAACATTAGCACTACACAAACCTAATAACAAACTTTTTGAGACTCTATTTATGTGTTTCAAGTGTTCTATCATATTTTTAAGCGAAAAGTAAATGCAGGGCAAGATCATAAGCCACCGAAGGGCATCTGTAAATTAAATAGAGCTATACTGCCAACCCAGTATTTGCATTGGTCATTTCAACTTGTTTAGATGAATCAGTCCAGCCAGAACATAATGCAACAGAAAACCATTAAAAATATGAAAGAAAAAAAAATTCTTGGTCACACACCCACGAACTAATAAAATTTCTGTGTCTTTAACTTTTGTTTGCTGCAATTAAAGGGTGATGCAAAATAATAACAAAGCCAGCACAGCATGTCAAAGTAAAGAATGCTAACAAACAAACATAACCAAACCCTTCATCACACACAAAGGGATTACGGAGTAATACCTTCTCACATCTAAGAAAGAAGAGACGATTCTCCTTTGAGAGAATTGTGTCAGGACTTTTGCAACCATTGCAAATGACATACTCATCTGCACAATACAAAAACATATATAACCACCAAAATACAATTCAAGGGTGCAAACAGCAGAAATGTGCTTAAACGAAAATTAACAAAATGCAGATGACACCAGAATCCATGCCAATAATTTTTGCTTACTGGTAAGCAAGCAAGAAAGGAGCCCACTAACTATTAACGCCAAATTTGGCAACTATCTGAGTTATTACTTTTAACTTTATACAGATGGAACTTACTGACATATCTCCTCAGGATACCCTCAAAATTTTTTGGTGCAAATCTTCCCTTCACAACTAATCTTTGCTGTCCATCAAGTGATCCACTCGTCCCCATTTCAGCCAGCAAGAATGTCATAACATGCTCTGGTTGCCTATGCATACTGGAGTAACAGACAAGTAAAAAAGGACCCATAATAGAATAATTATAATAACAATAACAATAATAATAATAAAACAGAAAAAGAACACAAAACCAAGCAATATGTTTTCTAAGTTGGAACTGTATCTCATTTTTAGTTCAATAGACCCAAATTAAACTGTACCTCATTTTTTCCAATAAAGTAAACTATTAGCTTGATCAAACTACTGAACCAACATCATTCTTAAAATCCCAATGTCCAAACACCAATCAAATTGCTGTTCACAACCCAAAATTCTATTTTACAAACAATCTAGCCCTTCTAATGTTTCATTAACTGAAATGTTCTGTATTTCTCAAAAAGTGATCCAATTTCTGGTGTAAAGCAATATCTTGAAGGGTTTTGTAAGCAGCAAAATCCTCTCAAATTAGAACACATGTACAAGCAAATCCTTAATACGAGATTTCATTACTATAAATAAACAAATAAATAATCAGAATATGTATTCACAAACAGCAAACACATGAACCATAGACACGGTAAAACAATATCTATCAAAACCATCTAGAACAGCTAATGAATAACTTTTAAGGAAATCAAAATGATATTTGCCATACGTCTTGCATAGATCCATAAAGTTCACAAATACAGTTTTCTTTGTGCCTTCACGAAGAACTTGAGGTGGCCTCATTACTGTTCTACGTCTATCTCCAGCAAGCTCCGGATTATTCTCACGCAGAATATGGAACACACGATCCAGAAGCTGCACACATTAATGAGAAGATAATTAGATCCATAAATAGAGAATAAGGCTTCATTTGTCTAGATGGATATCAAATGAAAGGATTTGAGATTAATTTTTATAAAAACACAGGAGATTAAAAATTATAGGTGGATTGAAAAACAAGAGGGGAAGATAAATTACAGATAAAAGAGAAGTATTTTATAAGAATCATTGAAGAATTAGAACACTTGACACGAATGATTTCAAATAACTACTTTTAAATTGTTGTTTCAAATGCACCTAACAAAGCTCTTAAGTACAATCTTGAAATCCCATCTAAACTATCAATTATAAATTTGAGCTATTCTCTTTGAATGAATAGTGACAAATCCTTTCATATAAATAAATCCAAACATAATGAAAAAAGAGCAACTTAACATTAATTAGATTAAAAAATCCAAATATTCCATAACTTGAACATCAAGATATTATTCATACTCCCTCCGTCCCAAAATAATGGTCCCTTTTAGGGAATCCAACTTTTTTTGGTAGTACAATTATTGCACTTTAATAAATTTGATTTTCCAAAATTACCCTTTGATAGTACATTTTTGGGGGATATCAATGTCATAATTGTACTTTTTATATTGTTTATGAATTTAAAAGAAGGGCAAAATAGGAAACCTCCGCCCCTCCGCCTCTCCATGTCTTTCTAAATACACTTATCCATTTCCCCCTCCCAATAATTGAGCATCCCTTTATAATGGCGAAGGCGTTTAACGGTTTTTTTGAGCTCTTTCTTTAATTGTTCCTTCGATAATGAGAAAAAAAGGGCGAGGCTCCGGCGCAGGCTCAGCAGAAGGGGTCAGCGCAGGCTCAGCAGGAGGGGGGCCATTCAGATCTAGCCCCAGCTCAGGAACTGGAGGTTGGTTTAGATCGAGCTCTGGGTATATTACCGGCTGGCTGCTTTTTATGCAAAAAAGACAAAACGGGATTTGATTTCCACTCATAAGGAAGGAAGGTTAGATATTATATTATTTTTGTACTTGATTTTTGAAGAGGGACTAATATTTTGGGACAATGAAAAATGGAATAAGAGACAAATATTTTGGGACGGAGAGAGTATAACAATTGCATTCCAAAGAATGCAAAACAATCTGTGATGCTTGGCTTCTTGCGGAGACACCTAGTTATATGACAGCCTAACATGTAATAAATTTATGGAGACAAGAAAAGAAAGTCAATAAATATACAAGGACAGAACATTGTGACAGGATTTTTATCTTTCAACAACTAGGCCTTTTTAATATCTTACATAAACTACTTAGTGCAAATGTAATACTAATGCCTCACATTTCAAACATAGCGGTTCTCATTGCCATGTGAAACTAGCACATACTCAAAGATATCTAGTAAACCTTAGAGTCAAAATTGATGGGTACTAAAAATTCAAATAGTCCATCACTAATGACGAAAATGACATAAGCAAATAAATTATTTTACAACCATCATAATACAAGAACAATGAAGAGCAAAGTTATAACAACAGAACAGAACAGTGATGGGGGAAGAAGAGGAAAGGGATTGTACCTCTTCATATTTATAATCTCGGTCACTCCCTTCCCATGGAAACTGTGGCTGCAAGATGATTCCTTCTCCTTCTTCATCGTCTCCAATATGATCTACAAAGTGGAGGGAACTTTAATCTTACATTCCATTTAAAAATAACAGTACATGTAACATATTGTACCATATAAACTTAAATCCACCAGTTCATTAATTGCAACTGTTGATAACATAACTTACCATCTAAATCATCCACTACACTTTCTTTCTCATCACTCAACAAGTCCGTATGCACCTGAATTATATACAGTGGTTACAAGACCGTCAGTAAAATTTTTAGAAAGACTCTAATCATTCAATATAGGTATAATAACTCACTGATTTTTTCTTCTTCTTTTTCAACCCAGAAAAGGTACTCTCAAGACCATCAGAAACTGCAACAAGTATAAAGTAATGCATGTAGCAACATAATAAGAGATCCTTCAATAAAGGGGGAAAAAAAAGCATGTAAAACAAGGTATGTAAATTACTTCTACAGTAATTCTTCGCCGTAGAGTTAACATACCTGATAAACTTTCAGTTTTCTCGGCCAAGTTGTCCACAGCATCATCTGCAGGATCTTGAATTACAACCTTCTTCTTTTTCTTCTTTTTAGTTGGATCAAATGGGGCATTCTGCAATGTAATTATATATTAACACCAATGACACAATGATGTACTTAAGCTATCAAAATGCCATGTGGTTAATTCATATAGGGAAGCAATAGATTTACAGGGGGGTCAAAGGGCACAACTTCAAAGCAATTGTAATAAAAATATTGATGCTTAATTGACAAAGTAACAAATTCAGAACAGCTCAGAATCATCTCTCATCCTAACTATACAGCATTTAAGTTTATTGCATTTCCATAATTACTTGTAAGAGAGCAAAACAGTTATAAATTAATACTTGTTAATATCCCAACCTGAGCATACTAGGGTTATAGGGTCAAACTACTTGCTTCTACTCTGAAATTAGAAACAGATGAATATGTACTTGATATTGTTCGCTCTGATACATTCAAATTTTCCATTGCAGGAAAAACCAAACAAACAAACAAAACAAAAATCAGATATGTAATCCAAGAAAATGACAAGTCAACAGTACAATAAATTATCATATAGCTTGAGTAAACGTGAATGATTACATAATCTCAAGTTAAAAACAATAATGTACTACTCACCATAATGTATTGAAGAAGAAATTGAGAGATATACACTAATAGATATGGAAAATGCAAGAAAATAGGGCAAGAATAAGATGAGTTGAACCAGCGGTGTGCTTAGAGGAATAGCTAAAATCATTTCTATCACATCCACGATTTTTTGAAGAGCTGGATGATCATCGCATTCATTCAAAAGAAATACAATTCTCTGTTGAAGAATTGTAACTAGCTCCACCATCTTAACCATCACAGGAGCATTTGAATCCTAGACAATTAAAAAAGGAGATAAAAGGTTAAGGACCAAACGAGTTTAAAAAGTAAATTGTAAAATACATAGAAATAAAGCTTGGAAAACCTTGTAAAAAATATATGCATGAGCTGATTTATGAGACGAATTTAATTTCTGTTCATGCTCCAAACAAAGGCGGAACAAGTGTTTAAGAGCAAGTTTAGCATCCAAACTGGACAATAGTAATCCCTCTAAACCTGGACAAAAAGACATCATATGAAATATGTTCTCGTATGAACAAATTACCGCATATTACTTAGATGAAAGTTTTAAAATTAATCACCATTAATCATTCTTATTCCTAGTCTGCAGGAGTCAAGGATGACAACCGATCTGCTTCAGAGACCTTTAGAATTCCAGGCTGCTTTGGGGACCAGAAATTAGAATAAAAATAGTTCATGGTATAAACCTCAGTTTGAATATAGAATACACAAGCACATACAAAGAAATAAAATAACTGAATGTGGCATAAGTTTTAGAAGGCTACAATGATGGAAGCAACAAAACTAAGATCTGAATATATATAGCTAGCATAGAAATAACAAACAAAAGGTAAGTGGCAGATATATTTGATTTGACGTTTATATCAAATTAGAATTAATATCCTCTGTTAAGAAAATGATTAACTCAGTGCAAGAAACATGTTCACCGTATTAGATTCTCAACACAAAAATCAAAAGACCTTCCAAATTTGTAAAAAAATTTCCTTAGAAGTGATAAATGCAACCAATGCAAGTGAAGGATCAGAGTTTGGGCGTATAAACTACCAGGCTACCATACTAACATATATGTTTGTGTAACTCAAGTCTAACTATTCAGTCAGCAATCAAAAGAAACCAGCACTGTAACATACTTGTCATCTTACAAATTATTTGTTGGCAACTCTAGTCTGAGGGCCATAGGGGACTCTACTTTTACTCTTCTATTTGTCATCTGCCCAATGCATGGTCTTCCATTTACACGTAACTACTAAGCTACAAAACACCCTTCACAGTATTAATGAGTTCAAAGCATCAGCAACATGCAAGTATGATTGCTTCATATGATGATTGAGAGAACATACTGTTTCAACAAGATCCATGGACCCAAATAGTTGATTGTGAATGTGCACCATATTGTTCAAGATGGAGCCCTTCATTAAGTTCCATTCCTCCTCCAGAGTATCATCTTCCTCTTCAGCTTTCTTTATGGATGAAAAGACACTGTTAGAAAAACAACTATACACACACAGCACAAACACAAATTATAATTACCTTTTCAGCAACTTTTTCATCAGAAAGCAATTCCTGCCATTCTGAAAGTATCTCATTTTCTAATGAACCACCAAGAGTTGATATGTCAATTTCCATTATGTTCTCTATCTTAAATGCACGAGGCTTGAACTTGAATTGTCGAGCTTCATGATCTTCTTTGGTCTTTACTTCAACTTTCATATTCATCCAAAGGCTAGCAAACTCATCAAATGTCTTATCCAAGAGCTGATTGATAAATACACCATATTAGTTAAAAGCCTTGATGCAAATAAATTTCTGGAATACTTTTGTTTGAAATCCTACAGAGGAGTAATTCTTACAACAAAAGATGCATTATCCATTAATTGGGCCTCAGCAATAGAATGCGCTACACGGAGAAGAATGTTGTGATGTATGGAAGCTTTCAGTTGCAAGTCTGAGACCTGTTATCAATGGGAAGTATTTGAATACACAGCTTCTCATCAATTCAGATAAAAGTCAAGCACATGGGAAACTAGAAGAACCATGAGATACAAAGACAATATGCTCATGAGTCAAATTAAATCAGAACATGTATACAGGCAAGAAATTAAATCAAAGGAGTCACAGACCATCTTATCAGAATTGACATCTCTTGTCGAAGTAACCAAACTTTCCAGCAAATTCATATCCATTGCCTTTGTGTTCATAGGGAAATCTATATCACATGAAGGAAACTTGGCCAACCCACAGTTGATCCTGACAGAAACAGCATCAGATGCAAAGCCTCTAGGAAATCTCATAAATGAATAAATTGTCTCCTGCCAGGTAGTTTTCAAATTTAGCAACGATA